CATTAATAAACTTTGATTCGTTGTTTCTAAGTATTGTTTTAAAATAAAGAAATCTAATATTTTTTAATTACCTAACTTACGGACTTATTTGATTTTTAATTTTCATACTTTTACAAATGTCGTGAAACTCTGTAATTGGCTTAAGTGATAATTGTCATCATCTCGTTATCACTGTGCAGCGTGTGTCGACCACACTTTTCCAAGCTTGTATATATTCTTTCTTTCATGAAACTGCATAAGGCTGTACATTAATAGTGTGATGTGTATTCCAAACTCATGTAACTATATTAATAAGCTGTTGAGTTTCCAAATAAACAAAATAAATAAATACCCTGTCATCACCCCAATTGCGGCGAAATGTTCACTTTAAAACATTAATTTGTTGAATTAAACGAGTGTGACGATTTTCAGATGAATAGCAACACATGAAATACATTAACGAAATTAATCATATTACCAATGACTGTCACAGACAGAATACTCCATTACTCGAAAACGTCGGAGCACAAAATTAGGAATATTTCACGATCCAACGAACACCAATGTGTACACAAATAACAATTGCTATATCAGATTCCAGTTGTATTAAATGGTGCGTCATCGTCCATCATTATTTTGTATTTTCCCTTTTGGAAATATATAGCTGGACCCGATAAGTATATCTAATATATAAAATTCTCGTGTCACAGTTTTCGTTGCCATACTACTCCGAAACGGCTTGACCGATTTTGATGAAATTTTTTGTGCTTTTTGGTATCTATGAGAATCGGCCCACATTTAGTTTTCATCCCCCTAAATGTTAGGGGTAGTTCACCCCTAAATTTTTTCGAGATTGCGCGTACGAAGTCGCGGGCAGAAGCTAGCCTACTATATAAAAATAAGTCGGGTTTTCCTTCCTGACGTTATAACTCCAGAACGCACGAACTGATTTCGACGGTTTTGCATTCGTTGGAAAGGTCTCGGGCTCCGTGAGGTTTATCAATACATAGTATAAAACAAAGTCGCTTTCGCTGTATGTCCGTATGTATGCTTAGATCTTTAAAACTAGGCAACGGATTTTGATGCGGTTTTTTTTAATAGATAGAGTGATTCTTAAGGAAGGTTTATATGTATAATACATGCATATTGCACCCGTGCGAAGCCGGGGCGGGTCACTAGTAAAATATAAAACAAATAGAAAATGTTTTCTTCATCTTTTAATCACCAAACGAAATAAAACGTTGTATGTACTCTGTCATTTTAAAAATTATATAAGATACTCTTAAGTTGTCATTGCACCGACCACGCTCTCACTGCATCACTTAGAGGTTGGCTAGTAAGAATGCCCATGGCATTAAGCCCGCCTATGTACTCTTGTTACATAAAGTTAAATAACTATAAGAAATAAACGAAGCCAGAACTGGTGGCGAAATGGAGTTCACCGGGTTTGCTAGTTCGGGTATAAAGAGATTTATCAGTCATCAAATTGTTACTGAGTTCGCATAGATAGTTCTTACTGTTTCCAGTTGGATTACGTCACATCATATTTGCTTATGTTATTAACAAACTTAGAACTCGTTCCCAATCGATTTGAAATTTAACAACACCTTTTTTATTCGTCAGAATCTTTAATTTACTAGCATAAATCGATGTATAGGAAGTGACGAATCAATTTAATACGTGAACAAATAGGAACATGTTATTTTTGTCGTAGTTTAGGTTTACTTATTAATCAGCGTGATGGAAAAAATAACGTTACGCCTTTTCTCCCCGAAGGGGTGGGCAGAGGTGCACATTACGGCACTTAATGCCTCTGTACAATGTAACACTCACTTTTCACCATTTAATGTTATGAGTCCCATGTAATAGGGGGTGAGCCTATTATCGTATACCGGGTACAATTCCAGACTCCGTGCTCCTACTGAGATTGTTTTAAACTCAGTAATACTTTGCCCGACCCGGGAATCGAACCCGAGACCTCTTATCAGCGGCAGTCGCACTTGCGACCACTCGACCAACGAGGCAGAGTAACGCGATGGAATATTGACGATAATATAATACAACTACCAATTTCACGACATCATTGAAATTCAATAATAGCTACTCTTATCTCGTATAATTTCGATCGAAAGGTTGAATCGTAGCCTAGTAATGGCTAGTACTTGATTAGGCTTGACCGGGAGTCCGGGAAGGTACCACATTATTATGAAATTCTGTACGATTGGTGCGGTGCCTGGGCAACTGGCTGCCGCGCAGAGTCGAGGGTTCGATTCCCGGAATAATTCTTTGTGTGATCCACAGATTGTTGTTCCGGGTCTGGGTGTCATGTGTATGTAAACTTGTATGTTTGTAAACGCACCCACGGCACAGGAGAAAAGACTAGTGTGGTGCAAGGTTTTTTTAAATAAAAAAAAAATCCAACGTGAAGTGGTAACGTAATTTTGCTGTACTGGTTCGTCTAGGTAGTAAGCGAGAGACTGATTATCACTTTCTCACTCATTTTCATGGAAAGGGATCCTTGAAAATGACAACATAATAATCTAAACAGATTCTTACATGGTCCGCCTGGTAGTGGTAGCTTTTCTTATTAGTAACACAAAGATAATAAAGATACAAAGTAATTTGTAATGGTTTATTAAAATGCACTTACCATTACATTAACGTTTTAATAAAAAAGCTGAATGAGGCTTGATGACAGTCTTCACATGTAGTTGAGCATCTGGAAAAGAAAGATAGCAATGTTATAAAAAACAGACAAGGAAAAAGTAGTCACTCGTCATGGTAATATGACACGTATGTTTACTTTTTATAAGTACTATATTTGTATTTCAACACTATTGGCTAATTAAACCAACCTTTCCAAATATTCTCAGAACTTTCTGTTTTTAGACAAACAATCCCGTTGCCATAGCAACAGTAATGGCGTCACAGTTACAATAACATCATTATTTACGCCCTCAAAATGTCTGTAAAGTTTAACTTGCTAAGTTTAGGCGCTGGCGTCGATTCAATTAACCTAACTATTGTTTTAGGGCTCCAGAACTTGTATTTTCACAGCCTAATTAATTTTCATGTTTGTGTCCTACCTAGAATAGAATTTGTAGGTATAGGCACAAGACCTAGACTCATGGCAAATGTAATGAAAATGTATAAACGCGTCGTGTGTCTAAACGTGGATTCACGCGAGACATAATGTATTTTTTTTTATTTTTTTAAACTGTCAAACACCAAGCGGTCACCGGTGACCGCAACCTATTGTTCTATAATTGTGTCTACAAAACCGGTACTCGACGAGTTAAATTAAATAGTATAACATTACAGTCATAAATAAAATAAACAATAAGAATAAGAAAACCTTACAAACTATGACAGGTTTTAATACCAATAAGCAAAATAAACAATATAAAATAAATAGGACATTTACAATAGGTACAAGATAAAATAAAATACAGTTATGCATTCATACATTCGCATAACTTATTACACTCTTTGCACACATTTTTTTATGGCATAAGCCGGTAAACGAGCAGACGGATCACCTGATGGTAAGCAATCGGCATCGCCCATGGACACCTGGAACACCAGAGGCGTTACAAGTGCGTTACCGGCCTTTTGGAGGTTAGGAGTTTGAGGATCGTTGGGGATTCAGGAATTGGTGAGATTGGGGGAGAGGAGAGTAATTGGGCCTCCGGTAACCTCACTCACACGACGAAACACAACGCAAACAAGCGTTGTTTCACGTCGATTTTCTGTGAGGCCGTGGTATCACTCCGGTCGAGCCGGCCCATTCGTGCCGAAGCATGGCTCTCCCACACTTAAAATATTTTTATGTGTATTATAGTATATTTAAGTGTATTTGTTATCTATTGTCTCATATACGGACATTCAAGCGGTTAAAGAAAATAAGAATTTTGCTATCTAGGAATGCTTGGTAAGAATGGTAATTTTCAATATTCAATACTACCCCAATTTAATAAAGAATGCTTCTATAACTTTGCAATATTAGTCCCATAGATTAAAAATAACATTCGTTACTAGCCAGTAGGTCACGTTAGTTTGTGTGCCACGTAATTAATCATTCTGTGGTTCAGTAATAAGACTTAAAATAACTTGGCTACCGACATTTAATTGATGGACTTTGTCGCTTTCAATTATAAATGGATGAGTTTATTTCCATCCTCGTTTGAAGTAAATATTTGGATTATTCATTAAGGAATTAGGTTAACTGAATTGAATATTAATTTCCAATGTCAATATTATAAAGAGACCAGTTTTGTTTGTTTAGAATAGATGAATAGATCGCGAAACAAATGCAGATTTCAAACTGCTCTTATTATTAGAAAGTGTCATCATTTCAGAGAGATATAGGTTGATTTTTGTGCAGAATCATATGCAGGATCGGAATAACAAGACGAATCTTTTAAATTCCGCACAAAGCTGTAGGCAGAAATCTAGTCTCATATATAGGTACCCCGCGGAGGGCTTAACGGTAACAGGAGTAGGAACGGGGTGGTTTTTAATCAGTAAGAGTCTGACACTCCCTCTCGCCTCAACCAGGCGGGAGAAGTCATTGGATGATTTTGCCGCCTCAAAAATGTCTTATACATATACACAATTTGATTCATAATGAGCTATTAATTAACACCAATTTCGTAGATTGAAGAATCGATCGAAGAAGCTATGGAAACGTGGCAACCAAAGTAAATTAAAAGTAATAAATAATTTGGATGATTAAATGACCATCGTGTCCAATTTGTGATATTGATTTATTTATGTCATTAATTTATGTTTAGTAAGTCGTTATTTATTTATAGCATTGCGGCAGGCAGTGTGGTTACAACATTACTTTTTCTTTAATTAAGGTGATTTGGCCTTGCTATCACTTCGGACCCTATGTCACATGAACATCTTTGATAGTCATCATAATTGAGAGACCGTCCAGTCCAGTCTAACCTAGCCTTTCTAAATATGATGGGATTATGGAATTACATGTTTTTAATACATATTTTTATCTTACACAGGAACAATTGGAAATGCCGGGGCCACCTCCAGCATACGAGACTGTAGTAGAAGGCCCTCCGAATATCAAGGACTGTCACGCATTGGAGGTGAGTTACGTACAACACTTTACGACTTGACTTTACGATCTCTGCGGATTAAAAACCGATACTACGCATGAATGACAATCGAATGCACTTCATCGAATCGCACAAAATGGCGGAATGCGCGCCAAAATTGACAATGACAGACTATAAAATTTGGAGAGAAAATGGCGACGTTGTGTGGCTTTTCGATCGATGGTTTATTTTTAGGTGCTTTTTTTCTATTTGCAAATCGTTCCGAATGGGGTTTCATATTACTGAAGGGGTGTTCGAACTCGTCGATGTTTGACTTCAAGTGGATATCGGAGGTCAAACGTCGATCTATAACGGATTAATGATGGTCATGGAAAACTTGGTACTTATTTAGGCATATTACTAGCTTTTGTACGCGTATATTTTTAAATTATTTGAGAGATCTCCGTACCTTCATATTTTTAGGATTACTTGAGATATAAGGATCTCATTATTTTTTGGTAAAAGAATTTAGACATACGCATTAATATCAGACTCTTTTCTTTACTATGTGTATTCCAATGTCACAGGTAGATTGTAACACACGCAGCAGATGTTAGCCTGGTTACTGTGCTGTGCAGTCAACTAAATCATTGACTGTTTCAATTGCATACACAATTATTATTTAAATCAAGTAACTACGTCTACACGTGTTTTCATATATTTCCAAATCAGTTGTTAAGCAAACAATAATATAACGGAACATTGCTTTGCCTAGGTAAATAAATTAAAATCAATTGCTTCAACTGTGACGAAACATCACTAACTTACAACGTGATCTTTTGAAGTACCGTTTATTTATATGGAAAATGATTTTTCTTCGGAATACGAAGGACTGATCTTGTAGAAAACAAAATCCCTATTTAAAGCAAAAGATACGAAGTACGGTGTAGTTTTCTATTTCATAAGGGTAGAGCCGTGACCTAATTTTTTCGCTTACAATCCACAAATTCCTAGTGAATGCTGTCAAAATATTATTGTTTGTTCTTTTTACAAGCGATCTAATGAAGGGATTGAGTTACTGCGACCTATATTCACTTGGCCGGGTTCAAACGACGTCTTGGCACTATTAATTAGTCTTCATTGAAGATCAGAGTCCAAATTTAGATGGTGATATAATAACATGTTACCACACAGACATAGTGTTGGATGTTGTCATTTTATTGGTTTGAACTGAACGAATGTAATATGATAGGGTTCCTCGTACAGTACTCGTTGACCGAGTGGTCGCAAGTGCGACCGGCGCAAGGGGTCTCGTGTTCAATTCCCGGGTCGGGCAAAGCATTACCTACTAGGTTTTTTTAAAAATTCTCAGTCGTAGCACGGAGGGTCCGGTATATGGCAATAGGCTCACCCCCTATTACATGGGATATAAATAGATAAAGTACTTATTTGGTTCCTATTGTATAAATAACATTAAAAATACTATAGTAACTGTACAATGTAACATCCACTTTTCGTATGTACAGTGAAAGTCGCCTTAAGTGCCGTGATATGCACTCCTGCCTACCCCTTCGGGGATAACAGCTGTCATGTTATGTTATTGCACACACTAAAAGCAGACATCGAAGAAAATTCTATTACTCGTTAAAAATATCAAATGTTTCATATTTTCCAGGAGGTGGTAACAGAACCATGTATACGATGTCAGGGTGGGACACGATGCGACAGCGATCTACCTTCATACGAGGCAGCTGTCCTCCTGCGAGACACCAAGTTATAATACCTGGAACAGCTGGAACTACCAAGTAATATAGCCTTTATGAAGCACCAAGTAAAATGTATTGAGGGCCTTAGCAGACCGTGCACGACCATCGACAATTACGTAGATTAAGTAACTATAAGTAATGTTAGGAGCAAGTCCCTTAATGCCGGACGGCACCTAACACTTGTAATGCGAGCGATTCCATTTTTGGAGGGAAGTCGCCAAGTGGCATACATCTAAGATTTTTAGTAAAAATTGAATCGCTCGTGTCATCAGTTATCGAGGTAATACAAGTGTCCGGCGTTAGGTGCCGTCCGGCGTTAAGGGACTTTCCCGTATATATTTTATCTTTTAAGTTACAAAACGCACTGTATAGGTATAAAGATGCAGGCAAACCTACTCCAATCTATCAAACTTCAACAGGTCTTCAACTCAATTACAAGACGATAAGATTGGCAATCTGTTAGATTTCACAGACAGTAGCTTGAAGTGCTGGAGTCGACATTAGCACTTATTTATAAGAGATTAACTCGTCGAGTACCGGTTTTGTAGACACAATTATAGAACAATAGGTTGTGGTCACCGGTGACCGCTTGGTGTTTGACAGTTTAAACTGTCTATCTCATTTCTCATTCTTATCATTACTTAAATTCATTACTTAAACTGTTCTATAATTGTGTCTACAAAACCGGTACTCGACGAGTTAATCTCTTATAAATAAGTGCTAATGTCGACTCCAGCACTTCAAGCTACTGTATTCTGTCAAAACTAACAGATTGCCAATCTTATCGTCTAAACAGTTTAAACTACAGTTTAAACTGTCAAACACCAAGCGGTCACCGGTGACCACAACCTATTGTTCTATAATTGTGTCTACAAAACCGGTACTCGACGAGTTAATCTCTTATAAATAAGTGCTAATGTCGACTCCAGCAGTTCAAGCTACTGTCTGTGAAATCTAACAGATTGCCAATCTTATCGTCTAAACAGTTTAAACTACAGTTTAAACTGTCAAACACCAAGCGGTCACCGGTGACCGCAACCTATTGTTCTATAATTGTGTCTACAAAGACGGTACTTAACGAGTACACAATTCATTGTGAGTTATTTAAACATGTTAAAACAATTAACCTAATTAATTTTAGATTGAAATTCGAATTAGTTTTCAACGATTATAATGATGTTGTGATTGTTTATTTGATTGAAATTCTGTTTATTACGGGGTCATACATTTAATAATAACACATCTTTGAACAGACATATTATCTTTTGAGCTAAAACACTACATTTTTAGTTCGAAAAATGATTCCTTTTAGCTATTTAGCTTCTGTTTCGAAAGAGAACTGTCGTTCTTAGCTCAAAGAATGCTTTTACGAGTCAGTCGACTTGTTTTTGCATTGTTCTACGCGAACTATGAACGTTAGGTAAGGGATGCAAATTAATTCAGGGGTGTGGTTATCAAGTTATCTATATTTTAACAATGACCGTCATATTACAGTAAGCTACTTTGAAGGAGTGAAACTGTAAGATAAAATGTCAAATGTTTCAAATGAATAATTCATAATGATTTTGTGAGATATTAGTGATTACATGCATACATACATAACTTCACGCCTGTCTCCCATGGGGGTAGGCAGAGACTATAAAGCGCCAATTAAGTACTACGTTTTTTACATACCTCTTTCGCTACATCAACAGTCATCAATCCTTGCATGCATGCTCATCGGTTAAGAGTACTTTTAATTTGGCCCTTCTTTAATATACAGCCAACCTGGTCGCTTACTCTTGAATCCAATTCCGACCGATTGACATTGGTATTGCGAAATTTCATACTCTTGAGTCGCAACACTAGCGCCCATTGCATCCGTATTGCGTGGATATTGATTGAACTAAATACTAATAAATAGATTCCGTACTTTGAATGCTATTTTAACAGTTACGATTGTGGGCGTATAATGTTGACATTGAGATTGGTTTCAAGAGTAAGCACCCTGGTCAGTATATGCCCGTCTAGGGCGCACTCTACCGACGGCCGCGTCATATTAAACAACACTATGGTAAACGCACTATTTTCTGAATATGCATAGGAAAGTGGATTATTTTATTATTGTGTACTAATAGTTTAACAGTGCTGTGTACACGTTGGAGTGCAAAATGTAGGTAATATGAAGTGCAGATAAGGTAAACTGCAATTTTGTACTGTAAATAGCTAATATAATAAAATCAATTTTAAGTTGCCGGAATGGTCAAAACAGATACAAATAAAATGCAGTTTCTGTTTATAATATTAAAATAACCGATTTTTGT